TGTCCATCCAATGCATGTGCCATCACTGAAAGCAGTTGTCATAATCATTAACGATCTGGTCTCCAATTCAACATTCATATTTGAATCTTCAAATTATGGAGCCATCAGGCCCATAACGCGGCAACTAGAATAGTTCCCCAATTCATTACAGTGATTGCTTGGAGCAGATGTTTCAAATAAACAAAATATGTAAAATATATTTTTACTACAGTAACACTTATATAAATATTATATATATTATTTTCTCTCTCTTCCTCTCTTTGCTTCCATTTTCTCTCTTTCTTTCTTTTTTTCATTAAGAAATAATATTTAAAAGAAATAGTTAAAAATATAGAAAATCTGTTAAAAAGTGAGTAGCTAAAATAAAAAATATTATTTTTTAAATAGATAAAATACATTTTGTTGTTGGAGATGCTCTTACCCGCTTCAAAATTCAATTTAGAAAGTGAGATAGAAACAAACAACTCGAATGAAATGACAGGTTCACGTGGACGGACAACTAATTTGGTGGCAAAATGTTGTTGTGATTTAAGACCCATTAACCGCAATCAGAGGGGCACATTATCCCCAAACCAAACCTTTCATGAAGCAAAGCAGGCAGTGATGTTCATGTTCAGACTAATATTGACTAGTATACTTCGGTGCTTTGATTAAGACTCTTACCAAAAATATATCGTCCCCAAAGGTTTTCATAACCTCGTCTCTTTCAATTCGCTTGAAAGAGTCAAATACCTAATCCCCTCCCTGCGTGGGTGTGATTTGTCTTTTTTTTTTTTGGGGGGGGGGGGGGGGGGGGGGGGTTGTGAGGGCAACGAGCTCATACTTTCCCTCCTTTTATTTTGCCCTTGTTCCTCGAAAATTGCAAGGGATCTAACAGTGATCCCTCCTATAAGATGCATAAGCAACGTCGGCTTAGCTCATGTCCAGCTTATGAATGCAGTGGATTCATCATCAATGTAACCAGTTATTCTCCTACCAGACCAGAATATCTTTACTTTAGGTAAGTAAAGAGCAGAGTATCTTACACGGAAAGATGGATACAAATACGGAAATACCCCATTACCTATTACCAGTTTTATACTCGCTCCCCATAACTATTGGGCTAAAGCCCATACACTTCGGAATCCAAAGAGCCATGGTCGGGTTTAACTTCCGGCCTTCTACCTTGGATTCATCATTCTTCACCAACTTAGCCTTGTACCAGACCAGACTGAATAGACAAAAACACCCCATTAAGTAGTAAGTACTATCAATTTTGCACTCACGGCTCACCCCTCCTGAACTATTTCACCTGCCCTTTGGTCATACGACAATCATTCATCAATGCCCTCTCCATTCACGTGCCACAGTAAGAAGGCACTTGCATGTCAAATGACACTAGCAAAAACTTCTGGGACAAAAAGGATGGGGATATCCTTGGGCCGGCCAGAGCAGGATCCTGGACATTTTATGTCGATCTATATGATCATTTCTCCTCGCCACAGGTCCAGTGTAAAGAAACTATCAAGAGTCTAGTATGCCAAAAGCCTACATAGGCCTGCACTAATTCAGCTTGAGATCGTTAATCCGAGGAAAGAACTATGATTTTGAAGCAAATGAAGGAATGACATCTCGCATACATAGGAGTTTCTAAGCCAATCTAGTTATCAGCTCATCTGCAAACGAGTCAACTTAATACAAGAAAAAACCATCTCAATCATCTACTTGCTTTAATTACTCTTCTAATTTACTGTTAGCTATTCGTTATAAGACTTCTTTGAGACGTAAGAACCATGTGGTGACGATCCTAACAATGCACATACAAGACTACCACAGCAGTCAATCAAAAAGGTGATAAAAAATGTTTGACTCTCATGGTATTTTGTATATATTACAACCACAATTAAACTGCGAATGTCTGTTTGCTCAATGCAAACTGGCATAATTGCCAAACAACAAATATATACCTACTAACTTTTTATAATAATATTCATACTAGCATATTTCTGAACTTTTTACCAGTCTTTTCACAAACACAACCAGCAGATATACAACCGACCAGGTGTTATATTTGTGCTACAAATATAACGTGACAAAGGAATTCTGAGGTAGCCTAGGACCTGTATGAGAAAGAATTAAGAAGCACAATAAATGAATGAACAAGGGAACAGAAAACTGTACCTTGAGTTTAATGATGGAAGTGAAGACGATTAAGTCTAGAGGAACTATTTTTTTATCAGCATGCAGTCGCTATGCTAGATATGATTATCTCAACCTTAGGCCAGAATAACTGGCAAGCATTCATAAATTACAGATGCTGACTTTACTTTAGTTAAAACTAGAATAACTGGCAAGCATTCATAAATTACAGATGCTGACTTTACTTTAGTGTCTAGTGTCCAAGCACAAAAGAAGCACATAGTAGTTCAATTTTGTCCAATAGTCACATAAAATCCCAAAGAAGTGACAAGGCAATCAATGCCAATGTCATCTCAATTTGAACTAGCTAGGCCACTCAATTCAAAGAAACCGATAGAAAACAAAAAAAATTACCTCTCATACATTAAAAAAAAAAAGAGAGAGAGAGAAAGAAGAAGAGGTTTGGCCTTCAATCAAAGATGCCATATTTCAATTCCTCACATCATCTACAAAATCTCAATCTTCATGAGTGCATTACTAAAGTTAATTTAACTAAAGCGTGTATGGCATCTTGTACATTACTAGTAGGCCAACCACGAAGAAATCAACATAAGGCCATTCCCTCATGAAAGGGTGCTGCTGCTGCACTAAGTTATCAATCGCACCCTAATCCGCCACACACCAGTTATGGACTCCTCAAACGAACTTGCAGTTTAATTGGTGCAGCAAACAACTTTTATTTTCAATTTTTATATCACTTCGACAATTCTTCAACAGTACAAATAGGATTGTCAATTACATACAACATTGCATGCCTCCATTAAGCAATATAATCAAACACCGCTGGAGTTGGCTTCCTTATTACATATGTCCTCCATCAAGCAATACATTTCCTTTTAATTACCATGAGCATAAAGCTGATCATTATGTTATTCCATCTCCTTTTAAAGGATCTTCAATCTGACATGCCTATATGGTTCATTAAGAAGAATTTTGTACCAAGTTTGAGGCGAAAATAACAGCATTGCACCTAAAAGCAAATATGAAATATTGAAGCATTATTTTGATCCTGCAACCGCGTGTTTAATCATTCGTAGACCCAAGCTCATGGAAAAGATCAACAGAATAGCCCAATCATTGTTCACATAGCTCATGGCAACTAACATTTAACACAGAAATCAATATCCAACAACATTAGAAACACATAACTGAAACCCTAAGTTTACCGGAAAATCGAAGAGCCCTAGGTTTGTGACTCACATCGATGAATTGAATTGTTGAACAGTTCAATTGTCGTCGCCGAAGAGATGATGAAGCCTGGAAGCGAAGAGTCCGGATGGTTCGCGAGCGGCTTCCGCGAGAAGGCCGCGCTTAATGTGGTTCATTCGACCGGTGAGGTCTTCTTGTTCTTGTTTTAGTGCTGAGGTGTCTCCACGGAGATCGTTGATACGATATTTCTGGCCGACTGATCGGACGCTGAGTAGTAAAATTCCGGTCATCATGAAGAATTGTATGAAGCTATGTTTCCTCTTCACTGCGTTTGCTATGAAGCCTATAGACTTTTGGGAGTTTCGGACGCCGGCGGCGGCGGAGCTTGTTGGTGGTGCTGGCTGAGCCATGGCTGAGACTGAGAATCTGAGACTATTCCCTGTGTACGATAGAGAGAGAAAGAGAGAGAGACTACTAGTTTCGTTATCTGGGCCGATTGGGCTCAATCAGGACGTTACGGTAAGATTGAAAGGCTATTTGAATCCGCCCATGGGCTTGGGCCATTACTGAGTGCTTTGTCTGGGTCATATGTATCTGGCTCTTTCCCCATCAAGATTAGCTTTATCTATATAATTTGGAAGTCGGTATAATTTTTTTAATTTATTTAAATAAAAATACAACACAAAAACATATTTGAGATAAAGTGCATATTTATAAAAATGACACTATTGTCATTCGGTAAAGTGCAGATGGGTAGAAACCATTTGAATTCCTATCGAAAATTTTGGCTACAATCAAGTAATAGGAGTTAAAAAAAATAGGAGTTTTAATTATCTAATTCCTTCTTCTTCGGCAAAAGGGATTCTATGGCTATGGGAATATCATAATTGTGACTGTTTATCATCCAAAAAAAAAGAGGAATACGATAGTACTGTTCATTGTCTCTTATGGTCCAATAACTATTCATCGTCGCCTACGATGTCCAATAATTATTTATCGTCTCCGGCCATTTTTTCACCAGAAATTACAGATGACATTCATGTCTCATTTTTTGTCACGCATTAATTATTTATATTTTTTTTTCACAAAACTATGTAATTTGATTTAAAAAAAATCATAAAACCCTATTTTCGTGAAATGATAGTAAAAAATTGAAGGTTTGTAATTAACGATTAAGTAGCCTAATTACAAAAGTTAAATTATATGTAGATGAAAAAATATTTTGGAACAAGAATTTTTTGATGAAAAATAGTTACGTAACTGTTTTAAGTAACTATTTGTGATCACAAATTACAAACAGTTAATATTTAAAAATTTAATGGGTTAAGCTATATTCAATAACTATTTTGTGATTTTAAGTATTCCAATTTTATATATGTTATTGGTAATTGTATTAAGTATCTGTTGAATAGTTGTGTTGAGTATATGTTACTAAATATTTGTAACTGTGTTGAATATCTGTTAAGTCGAATAGTATGTTAAATGTATATATTCATGATATGAAATTTAGTTATAGTCTACAGTGATTCATAAGAAATACTTGTGTCCCTAAAAATAATTACTATGTGCAGTTGAGTTACAATGCTCCTAAAAAATTTAAATGAATTTCATTCTAACGAATTAAGCAGTTATCAATGTCTGGACCAATGGTTAGGTTAATATACATACACCATATATTACTGTAGTTTGTGATAACTCTTGTACTATCTACTATGTTATAACTTTATGGAATAATTGTTTTTGTGTAACTTTGTGATGTAATTGTTTTTGGTAATTGTTTACAGTATGGGTTAACTGTAATTTTCATGATGATTTCATGCAACAAGCTGAAGTGCAACGGGACATCCCATCCGATAAAGACATCCCTCCATTCCTGATTAACTTTGTGAAGTGCAACGAGACATCCCTTCGTTCCTAATTAAGACATTAAAAAATGAATGACATTGTATCAATTCAAAAGAAAAAGAAAAAGAAAAACAGTTACACACAACAACATAAAAAACATTAATACAAATAATTGAATTAATTAATCACATACCGGGAGAAAAAACATAAAATACAAAATAGTTACAATATACAGGATCTACTAAAAATAGATATTAGCTGAAAACTTACATACAAGAACAGTTACACTAAAATGCAACTCTGATTTTTTCAATACAATTACACAATAGTTACTGTGTATACGAAAAATAGTTACACCTATTAGAAATCAAAACAATCTTTTTTTTTCAACACAGTTACATAATAGTTACTGTTTATACGAAAAATAGTTACATCAATTAAAAAACAGTTACACCCATTAAAAATCAAAGTAGATTTTTTTTTTTAATACAGTTATACAATAGTTACTGTCTATACGAAAAATAGTTACACCCATTAAAAACGAGAGCAACTTTTTTTTTTTCCCTTCATCCCAACAACGAACAATATAAAACAAAATCGAAATTACGATTTTTCAATAAAAATGGCCGAATAAAAAAAGAAATATAATTATTAAAAACTTATCTTCAAGCCGATAATTGTGATCAACATTTGCAATTCTTTTTTTTTTTGAAGAAATCCTCTATTTATTGGAAGCAAACGAAATAAACTTATAATATGCCTCAACCAGAGAAGTAAATCGTCAAGTCATACGTTGAACGAAATTACAATGAAACCAACCGTTGAAGAAGACTTTTACTGCAGAGATATCTCGGAAAAAAATTCCCAGCCATTGAACACTCTTACTGTAGATATACCACAAATTACTGCTCATTCAAAATTCAAAAATGAATTATAACAAATATGTAATCTTTCCATATTTGTTTCCTCAAATAACTGACAATGATAACTACATCAATTAAAGAAGGGTATTTAGGTAAAAAAAATATTTTAATTCATTTAAATTTTTTTACCTAAATACAAAAAATTTTATAAAAATTCTACTTAATTGAATAAACAATTTATTCGTACACTTTTACTTAAATATGCCTTAAAAAAATACTGGCATACCCAAAAAAAACCTTATCTTTATTTCCTGTTTCAAGCACCCGAAAAAAGAAATTGATTTCCGGGCCGCCCTGTAAAAAGAAGTAAATATTCATCATAGCATCACTGTTCATTAACATCTCCAAAATCTCTCTATTCTCATTTAATTTTCTATTATAAAAATTCCACTCTTAAAATTTTTTCTCCAATGGATACTTTATTTAAACTCTCTAAAAGCCTAATTTGACTATCTACATTTAAAGAATCAAACTCCTTGCACCAAAAATACATGTCTCAAACAAAAAAAAAGAATTAATCAAAGTACACATAAACTAGTCCGAACACCCTTAACCATTGAACTAAAAAAAAAAAAAACATGTCTAGAACCAAATGGACGGTTCACTCTACTCCACAGGATGTCTTAAAACTTGTGAACTCGTATATATATTTCAAAACTTACATGGGGAAGATGAGTAAGAAAGGAATTTCATGAGTTGGAAATGGTATTCCAAAACAATTATCTACCAGAGATTATAACTTAAAACTCATGTGAAAACCCAACCAACCAGTTGGTACAACAGACAAAAAGGTTGCTGAGGTAGAAACTAGACAACCTCTCGATGCAGCCACAATTGTCCGAGGTATCACACTCCATCATAACCACCATCACTAACTCCGTTTGATTAACTGGACAGGCAAAAATAGTTAATCCCAGAACAATACCCACTACCCAGCCTCTTATTACCTCCCAGAACTCCACATTTGCTACAGTCCAGCAATTCGCAGTGATTTTGTATTAAAGCTACATCAGAAGTCCAAAGTTCCACATTGTTTGCTTTGTATATTCTTCACTCCATTATTCTGTTTCATATCCTCATTTTGCTCATTGCTGAGAACCCGACTTCTCCCGATTCCTAGCTTTGGTAAACCCCGATTCAATCCCTCCAGCAAAACACATGCTTTACACCATTTCTGCAAAATTTATAGAACATAATCAACAAATATGCCGATCCTCTACTTGACAAACAAAAAGGTGGATGATTATTTATCTTATAAGCATAATTTATGCACACAAAATTACAGTACCAACCTCACTAGCCATTTTGCTCCAATATAAATTAAAGAACAATTAATTCTACACAAATCTAGAAGAGAAAAAAATAAAGACTAACGATGCACAAATTGGTTTTTGTGCAAAATCAACAGTCAAGTGGAAGACCCCTTCCTCACATCACTGCTTCACCGCCTTAGTATGCCTATATAATGTAAGTTTTCTACATTTAGAGGACATGCTCTAATAGTCTTGAGATCCCTACACACACTACACCTTCCTATACACACTGCTCTCCCTCTCTCTCTCCAAAGTACTGTAATACTCCTGGAGAATACTCAATCCGGTAACTTCACTCAATAATAAAAGATCAAAACCACCGTTGCCGTTCTCGAGAGTGGAGTAGGTCACCCGGATCGAACCACTATAATTCTCTGTGTTGGCTCCTTATTTACAGCTTTATTATTGATTGTTTTATTTATTGTTCATTAACTTCATCCGTTCATACACTTGACTGTTGATTTTGCACAAAAACCAATTTGTGCATCATCAAATGATGAATCCGAATTTTACCAGGTCAAGCCCAATAAAAATAAATCGAGAAAGTTCAAAAGAAAGCCCAAATTCAAGCTGGGTCAACCATTCAAAAAGAGTCCCAATTGCGAAGCCTAAAAGGAATTGGACCTGCTCACAAGTTAAGAAGGAGTCAAGTGAAATCCAAGCCAACGCCCATGGCCTTTCTCCATGTGAGGGATCAACATCTTGGGTCCCCTCCTAGTAAGTCGAGGCCAATGCAAATTCGTAGTCATAGCCATAGACTACTTCACTAATGGGTAGAAGCCGAAAACCTAGCCAGAATTACAGACCAAAAGATAAAGAATTTCATATGGAAGAGTCTAGTCTGCCGTTTTGGAATACCACACGCCATTGTAAGCGACAACGCCAAGCAGTTTGATAACAGGCTCCTCAACAGTTTCTATGCAGACCTCCAAATCAAACAGCCCCACTCTAGCCCTGCCCATTCACAGGCAAATGGGCAAGTAGAGGTCACTGTCAGGACCATACTCTGAAACTTGAAAGCCTGACTAGAATCCACAAAAGAAAGATGGGTAGATGAACTTCCAGGAGTGCTATGGGCCTATCGGACGACACCAAGACGTCCTACGGGCGAGACCCCATTCTCCCTATCCTATGGGACAGAAGCGGTGATACCCGTTGAAATCGAAGTACACTCCCTTAGTGTCCAACACCATGACCCTACCAATAACGAAGAAGGCCTCCACATCAACCTCGACTTGGTGAAGGAGAGGGAAATAGTCATGCTCAGGAATGCAGAGTACAAACGTTGCATGACTAAGTATTACAACTCGAGGGTGAAGTCTCGTGCCTTATTACCTGGAGAACTGGTCCTAAAAAAGGTCATCTTGTCTACCAAAGACTCCCGAGAAAAGAAACTAGGACCCAACTGGAAAGGACCCTATATAGTCACAGAGGTGGTGAGACCAGGTACCTTCAGACTCCAGAATTTTGAGGAAAAAGTCTTGGCCCATCTATGGAACGCAGAACATATAAAGAAATACTACCAGTAGCTGGGGGCAGTGAGTCATGAGTTAGTGGCTACTGTTTAGACTATTTGCCTTGTTTATCTTAGTCAATTTTTTATGTTAGTCGATTTTGTTCTTTGAATATCCAATTTGGATTATAAAATAAAACTTCTCAACATTTTCTCCAAAAGTTGTATTTCATTTAAAGTCCTGAACCTTCTACAAAAAAAATAGACATAGTCTATTCCATTCAAGTCATGAACCTTTTACAAAAAAAATAGACATAGTCTATTCCATTCAAGTTCATGAACCTTTTATAAAAAAGATAGACATGTTCTGTCAACAAAAAAAATACAAAGTCACCACACTCCTACTGACTCTCACTGCCGCCACTCACATAGTCCTCATCATCAGACTCAAGAGCCTCGTAAGCCTTGAAGCCAGAAAAGTCATAGGTAGGGAATGCTGCAGAGACCTTCCTCCTGAACTAATCGTAGTCGTCCACAAAGGCGCTGGCCCTGGCCCTCTCCACAGCATCTCTCTAAGCCTTCGCCCTGGTATCTCTCTCAATTGCTACCCGAAGGTCAGCCTCAAGTTAGGTTGCCTTCTCCCCTGACAGCCTCAACTGCTCAGTAGCGCTCTCTCGCATCCACCGCTCGAGCTCTAACTACTTCTCGACATCCTCTCGCACTTGTCGAGCTAGCTTTGCGGCGTCCTCTCGCACCTACTGCTCAAGCCGAAGCTGCTCCTCTGCAACTGAGCATGCCTGCCTCTCCATCGCCCGACCACGGACTGCTTCCTTAATCTCCAGGGTATTGTTGAACAGATAGGGCAAGACAGCAACCACCTGTTGGTATTTAAAGGTAAAGAGGGGTGAAGAGCTAAGTCAAAGTATGACAAAGAAAACTGTATGCAAAGCAAGGGTGTAGGACATACCAAGGCAAGGCCCTCAACAGTGGCGTTAATCGCGCCTTCTGGACCTCGGGAAACAATCTCTTGGGCCTCAACGCCGGTTACAAAGGCACAAAATCTCTCCCTTGCCAACTCCACATCATGCACCATGGACGCTCGGGCATCACCTTGAGGAGGACACCTAGACAGGCCCTCCGTCCTAGTGAAATGTAACGTTAGAGCCTCGGCCTCCGCAACACTAGAAACACCCCTAGGGGGTGAGGGAATGTCAGTCAACGAGGGAGGAGGAACATTCCCAACCTTGCCTCCGCAGGACCAGCTGAACTGGGGACATCAATCCTCGCCCTCTTAGGGGGAGGAGGAGAAGGAACTGACCTCGAGGCACATATCTCTTCCACTATGGACCTGTCAAGTGGAGGACCTAAAAAACTAATGTAAGCCATAAATCCTACAACACAGTTTTTCCAAAAGAACTATGAAAGAACCCAAGTACCTTTCTTCTTCGGCCTCGAAGGAGCCATGGAATAACCAACTAACGACATAATATCGAAGTGCTCCCTAATTGGGTTATTGTGGACCTTCTCGAGCAACCTCTCCTGTTCAGTGGTGAGGGATGGCGGGGCTGCAAGAAAACAATCGCACCATAGGAATAAGTACGTGACTATCAAGGCAAAAGATAAAAGATAAAGACCTTACCTTGCTTGGTCTTTGGGATGGTATCCCATCGGGTGGGCACCCGACTACGGTCGGGCTCGAAAGCCCACTCGCCTCCGACAAAGAAGAATTTCTTTTTCCATTTGTAAAGATTAGAAATAAGCCCGGTGATGAACTTCCCCGACCTTGGGGAAAATCGATACCACCCCTAGTGGGGAGCGGGGTTCTCCGAAAGTCTGTAAGTGGCCAAGAACTCCTCAAACGGCGGAAGAACAATAGTCCCGTGCGTCAATCGCCACAGTGCAAAGAAAGCCAATAATACTCTCCAACCGTTCGGAGCCAGCTTCCCAAGAACTAGTGACAAATGCTCCAGGACCCGACATATGGGCCTGGGAATTGGGAATCTCAGACCTGCCTCTAATATCCCCTTGTAGAGCACTATCTAATCCAGAGAATCGCAACAAGCTGACTCATCAGCCTCCGCATGACGACACAATACCGAGAGTGGGATGCGGTACAAAGAAACTAACTCCATAATATCTTCGTCACATTGAAAGGAGCTAAATATAGAGGCAACCTTAAAACAGTCGCCTCCGTCAGTAAACAGGTCTCTATCAGGATCCCCAGCAATCTCCAGCTCGTCTGAATGAAAACCCGTCAAAAACGAAGTTAAGTCATTGTTAAAGAAAGTACCCGTACCAATAAAGGAGCAAAAAGAGTATTGGGAACATACCTGGAGAGCTCGTACCGTCCCCTTCGCCGATCAGCTGCTTTCTAGACTCACGAAGAAGAGACTGAACTGCGCTTGAGCCACCACCTGGGGTGCCGCCCAGTGCACCATGGGAGCCTCCTAAAGCACCTATGGCGCTGCCCAGTCCGTGATGGACGCCCTTTGCCTCTTTCGAAGATCCACTCCGTAGCCCACATATACTTGAGGTTCCTCTTGATTTACTAAAAGGGTTAAGCGAAGACTCCTTGCCCATACCTAGTCTTGGGCTAATAATTCCAAAGGGTTTCTCACTCTTTTCCGGGACCTCACGAGGACTGCCACGAGGAAGGATGCCCAACTGACCAACGCCGAAGGGGGGTCACCCAAGCCCCTAGCGCCGCCCAAGGGAGTCCCTAACATCTCTTCGCTCTTCGCCAAGGCCATCAACCTCTCCTCCTGCATCACTCTCAATACCACCCGAAGCCTGGGCACTGCCCCTGTCATCTCCCTCTCCTCTTCGTTCCCCCGTTATATGATCCGAGACTTAGGCGCTGACCACCAAACAGGCACCACCACCAGGACAGCTAGGAAGAAAAAGACAAAAAAATACTCACTCAGTGCTTTGGAAAGAGAGAGAGAGAGAACAGTATGTATAGGAAGGTGTAGTGTGTGTAGGGATCTCAAGACTATGAGAGCATGTCCTCTAAATGTAGAGGACTTACATTATATAGGCACACCAAGGCGGTGAGGCGGTGACGTGAAAAAGGGGTCTTCCACTATCTTGGTAAGTATAACCTTAGTAGGAATGGATCTCCACATCTCAATATTCTCTCGCTCGTGTCCCTATTCTGTCAGAGGATGATCTTGAGCTGAGCTGATCCTGATCTTGAGTTTGGACTTGGAGTGGTGTGGACTTACACTTGTATTGGAGTGGAGGAGAGGGACTGGGAGGCAAGCCATGGGCGTTGGCCTTTGGCTTGGACTTCACTTGACTCCTTCTTAACTTGTGAACAGGTCCAATTCCTTTTAGGCTCCGGTAATTAGAACTCCTTTTGATGGGTTGACCCAACTTTGATTTGGGCTTTCCTTTGAACTTTCTCGATTTATTTTATTGGGCTTGGCCCAGTAAATTTCGGACTCATCGAAGACAATTAGCACTTGGTTTATCAGCCTTAATTTGATCCTTAATTTGTTAATAATCAACAAAATCAAAATTGTAATGAGAACACAATGCTAACAAATCAAAGCAGCAACAAAGTTTTTCAATTCAAAAGAGCGCAATTAAAAGAATCCGTTTCCAACTATTGAATGCGAAATTTTGTAAATATTGGAGGAATGAATTGGAACAATTACCTAAGCTTAGAAAACAAATGACAGCAAATAATGCAAGAACAGATTGAGAGGTAGAGGAGCAGCAAAAATATTTAAGCAAATGATTTTTCAGGAAATACAAAAATTACTCTCCACACAAAAATCAAATATAATAAGGTCTTTTAGAACTTTCCAATCATGAACTAAGTCCTAGATAGAACAAGGATCCATCAACTATGGACCCATTCATGCATCAAGTTGAACTACAGTTGTCTAAATACATTTTGAGCCTAACAGATGAGCTTTGTCCATCTAAAATACGCCAGCACCTGGTGTCTGCAAAAGCCAAGTTTGTTTCAAGTAAAGGCTAAAAAAAAAAAAGTTTACCTGGCTAGAAATATAGCCACATCGTTCACAGGTTCCCTGCTCCGGCATTTTCGTAGAAGTGGAGATCCGGAAATCTTCGCCTGATTTAATAATGTCAATTATGGCTCTGGGTCTGGATTGATGAACCATTAATAAGGTATCAAATTGACAAAACAAGAGAACATTTTAGTAAGATCCAAACAAGCACTTAAACATTATGTTTCAAACGGCTATACTGCCACTGACTGCTGAAAGAAATTCAACTGGTAAATAACCTGATCCTTTCTAAATCCTTGATAAACTCTCGAGCAAAACCACGATAAGCATTTGGAGAATATATGCCTGCATTATTTGAGAACTTTTAAAGAAGAAACTATAGAATCCAGTACAATATGCCAGCACCAGGATGCAATATCAATTTATAACAAACAAATAAACCAAAAGGAACCAATTATGATCACAAGTATAAAATGGAAGGTGATAAGAAAAAAGACACATTCTGTGCAGGAAAAACATCCTAAATGAAATGGAAAATCAGTGTGTGTGTTCGTGTGTGAGATATTACATCCAAATTAAAATAAAAACAACTCCAATTCCTGTAGTGCTATTGGTTAAATAAGTATCACCATTTGCCAAATTGCCAAAGCTGCAAAGAGGAAATTCAAAAGTCATAAGCAACACTAACATAAATGTTCAGATGTGATACTCATCAACCGGCCATTTTCATTGAGATGGATTTTCTCCACCATAGAAAGACATGAAAACAGGCACAAGAATAGGGCCAAAACAAGATGAAAGAAGCAACAACCCCAGGGTGCTTAACATAAAGAAGCTCAAAACTGCATAATGAAAAGTTTAAAAGGAAATGGAGCTTAACACTCACATTCAGTGGAGAAGTAGTCCAGCCTTTTGAAGTATGCATACGTGAACAGCTAGTTAAAGTATTGCAACTAAAACAAAAAGGAAAGGAAGCATGACATAAAATGTAGTTGCTCAAGAAGACAAAGAAGATCAAATGAAGGCAAACGAACTCAGCTATTCAACAAAGGATATATAACAATTTCCTTCTCGTATGTGTACTTAAAGGGTTTGCATCTTGGAATTGGTCCATCTTCCCCGGTGGTTATATATGTGCATCTACTCAACCTACAATGTTAAGGGCATAAACTAGATTAGCCAACAAAAACAAACGATAATGACGAAAGAAAAATGAAAGACAGAAAAAATGTCAAAAGACAAAGAACCTTAGCCACATTACCTAGCAATGTCACCTCGTAATATGTTCAAGAGAACTGTTTCAGCAATATCGTCCGCATTATGCCCGGTGGCTAGCTTGTCTACTTTCAACAGCGCAGCACCACGATCAAGGGCCTTTACAAAGAAAGCCATTATTACCATTGATTTCATTCTATACTCTATTCCTTACATATAGTTTTGCAAGTTTGCACCAAGTAGAAGATAAGTGGTCACTCAGGGAAGGGTACATTAAAATATGCGTTTGGCTTTCCCCAAAAATATTCAAAAAATTCCTGAAGACTGCAGCTGCTTGCCATTTAATACATATATACATACACCTACATTATGCATCGGGATTTTGAGGTATAAAATTCTGAAATTAATAAAAAGGACAGGGTCATTTTCAAAATTGTAAAAATAATCAGTTATCAAAAAGCCCAGTAATCAAGAGAATTTTTGTGTGGCCTGAACTGGCACACATCACTTCCATGATAAAATTCTAAATGCTTGAGGTTGGTAGACTGCAGAAGGAGAATGAAATATATATCAGGAAAGTTAAATTTGCTTCATCAATCACTAATATCCATGCCCGAAGACGTAAGTCAGATTAAATAAATCTATTCCAAATGTTTGTCCTATACAGGCTACAGCAGACTAGGGCAAGTAAGTTTCATATTTAAACTCATTAATTTGAAATGAACAATTCCTTACCTGGCGACGGAAAACACCACAAAATGTGCAATTATTCTTTAAACCTATCATCTTCACTATTTCATCCATTGTCCACCCATACAAATCCTTATACGAGATGACCTTAAGCGGAAGTCCATACTGAAGAGAATAGATAGCAAGAGTTATTAAATCAGAAGACCTGAGCAGGAAGCAGAATTTCAAGAACGATATATTGGAAGGCGTTTCAAACTCCTATGCTGTAAGAAGAAATTCAGGGAAAAAAAAAACAAGGAACAAATGAGACCACTGCAAGTATTCCAAACGCCAGAACAAACAACAATGAGCAAAGTCCCAGATTCCTACCAATATTATGTAATGTTAGAGTGCGTGAATGCACGTGCAAAAATAAGACAATCCAAACTTGCAATTATTTCCTCCCATTGTATAACAGATCACCACATTCCCTGCCCCTCCCGAGAGTATGTGATACTCTATAAGTGTGTGAGAAGGACAAAAAATCACATCATGTGAACTAGGTTTAGTGATTTTGCACTTAGACTTGAAAACACTAACAATACACCTTGTAAAATACAAACAGAATATACTCAACCAGAAAAAAAGAGAAAGATCGTACAATGTGAACAGTTCGCCTTAGAAAAGTTTGGCAATTGATAACATGCCCAAATCTCAAAATATGAAGGAACAAACCTCGAGTACTAAAAAATACTATTATTTTTTGTGACTATATGTTCAATTATTCAAACTCATTGACATATTAGAAATTCAGCACACCTGGATTTCATTTCTTTTGACAGTTTCCAGTGAGTCATCCCTGTACCCTGTGATGCCTTCATCAACTGACAAGAGGAAGAGATCCAGGCCATAATCATGCCTCTGATTCAATTCTGACAATACGTAAGCAAGAACAGTAGAATCTGCACCAAACAAGAAGAATTAGACATGAGAAAGAAAACAAAAAAAACAGAAATTAGATTCATTAGCTTGGGCTAGATAGATGACCACTTCCAATCCATGTACTGACACTACATGCTAATTTTCCGAGACTATCTACACAAACACATCGAGAGCTTCATGAACTCTTTCCACTCTTACAAAGAGACTCTGTTATCTTGCCCAAGAAAGCCGGCTTACAAGGAAATGTTGCCCAAAAGTTTATGTACACTCATCTAGTCCTATTTTTAACTGAGGCGTCAAATGGGTCTCTCCCTCAATTGCAAAATCATAAAGAATAATAACTATGAAGAATTTGCAAGGAATTCATACATCAGTTCTCACTTAATTTAGGAAAGAAAGTTTACTCTTATACAATTATATTCACTTTTCAATACTTTAGGTTTCAAGGTTCTCCTACACTAAATTTAGTAAAACGTTGTGATACAAAATTGTTGGATGTGTTCATATAACCAGACCGAACAGAGTTAAAAAAAAAAATTACCAACGTAGATGAGTTCACCTTTTCCACCAGAAGCTCCGATGGCAACACGTTCTCCAGGCTTGAACAGATGGTTGTCCACGATAACCCTATGGATCTCCTCCTCAAATACCGCATAAAAGCACTCTCTGCAAATCTTTAGACGCAGAAATTTTTTGTGGTTGAGACGGTAAAGAAAACAAAAATAGCTTTAATCAATCACACACTTACATGAACACAAATTAACTTCCAGAAGAATTATTCAAATTAAATCATAAACAAATGAACTTTTAATCAACCTTCAACTATGTAAAACTCATATCCACCGGAGTAAATACCTGTTCTAGGGTTTTGGGCCGTTTGAGGGCGGCCCTTCTTTGGTTGCAGATGGAGCACTGTCGACGCCCATCTCCTCCATTTTTTTGGGGCTTAACCGCCACCGCTTTCTCCATTTATTTACTGCGTTGTGGTGACGATAGATTCCTGAAATGTACTGATTTATTAAACTTGGTTCAGACGACTTTTACGGGAGTAAACAGATTTCAGACCCATAAGCAGCAGTATTCAACAGAACCCAAGCTTAAAAACAAGAGTTTGGACTTCTTCACAGTAGCATTACTCAAAACAAAGCGGCCTTTGTGAGATGTTCCGTTATCCATGTATTCCAGGATAAAAGTATTTTATACCCTTAAATTTTGTACATAATTTTTATTTGATCCTGGAAAAATTACATCTAATCCCTTAAAATTTATTATTTAATCACTTAAATCCCTAATATTTGAAATATTATACACAAACACTCTAAAGTTTATAAGTCCGTTAATATATCAATTGGTAAATTATACTCAAACCTCCTAAATTACACTTAGACCTCTCAAATTTAAAATATTATACTTAAACCTCTTATTAGTTATAGAACTAACAGAATCTATTAAACGACTAAATTATTTCAATTAAAGTTATAAGATTAATTAGATCTTCAATTATTATCTCTGTGCAATTCAAATTGCCGAAACTCCTATAAATAGAACTCTATTGATGCTCTAGGTATCCTACTTCTAACTTCTAAATGTAATTCATATATTTGAGCCACTTAATGGCTTAAACATCGGAGAGTCAACCACTAGAACTCTTTTTTGGTCTCCAACTTCTTTTCAAGTGGTCGAGGCCCAATAAACTGAAGAGAAGGTTGTCCAAAATTTAGTATCAACAGTATAACTTATAATTTTTTTTAAGAAAAAATTAGTTTTTTATTGTTGATTTTATTTTAATAAATAACATAATAGAATATGAATTTTGATTTAAAATTTAAAATATTTGATATTCTATTTTTAAACTTATGGGGTATAAGTATTACATGTTTCAAATTTGTAGAGGTTTAAATATAATTAACTAACAAATATACTAAAAATATGTGTGTAACATAATACAAATTTCAAGGAGTTTGTGTATAATATTTTAAATGTCAGGAGTTTAGGTGATTAAATAACAAACCTTAATTTTTCCTAAATTATATATAATAAATTTTGACAAGATAAATGAACCAAACTTGAAATTGTCATGTTGATTCAATTCGAGTCGATTAAAAAACGAATTTTAGTTGGCTTGAATCGAATTTAATCAACTTAATTTTTAATACGTAAAAAAATATAATTTTTAATCGACTCAAATTTTATTACGTAAAAAATAAATTTTAATTAGATCTAATCGAATTTAAATCAACCCAAATTTTAATATATAAAAAAATTAAAAAATAGAGAGAGTCCCATTGATAATATGCCTTTATAGAAGAGATGTAGATGGAATTTTCTTAAAATATATCATGAACAATTTAGTAAAATTATATTCTAGTTAGCATCATTAATATGTATTAATAATGTTTCAGATAATAGAGGGGTCTCCTAGAAGTTATGTCTTAAAAAAGGTGTCAATGATAATTACCCTAATTTTAATGGCATTTTAAAGTTGGCCCCTATCTCTTGTTCTCTGTCAGCAGCCGATGCAAAAACTACAAGTCTCGTCTTTTTCAATAATTAGAAATATTGGGACATAATTTAAAAATTTAATGATTATGGCCGTTAGATTATTGGTGAATTTTAATATTAAATTATTACCGGGTCCCAACACTATTAACCCAATGATTATAATACATTAAATCTTCAAATTATGTCCCTAAATTATATCAAAATAGCATTAATGTTCTTAGAGATAATAAAGCTTTTCTTCTGCCCAAGTTTGATATGCCTCCTTGGCAAAATCAAAATTGGCCACATTATTTGTGCAATTGAAAATTATTTTCATTTTTGAAATTGCTTAGTAGATTGGTATAACAATTTATGGTATGAATTAAACTTGTTAAAAGAGAATCGGCAATAAATTCATATGTCGTTAAGCATATTTTTTGGGATCCATGTCAAATTTTTTTTTTATTTGATTGATAATTTTGATCTTATTAAACTATAACGTACTTTGATTGAGTCCTAAAATTATAAATAAATAATTTTTATTTTCCCAACAATAAGACATGGTATAGCTTACAAAATTTAAGCAATGAATAATTTGAATAAATTTTCTTTTCCCAGTATAAGAAAACAAATAAAGACAAAGATTTTTTTTTTTTTTTGTCTCAAATAAATATAAAGATTAAACATTGAATTTGGACAAGTATGGCCAACAAGCAACCCAAAAAAAATCTAAAAAGTCCATTAATATAATTAGGCCTAATAACCTTAAATGTGACTCTTAAAACTGAAACAAACTCGATACAGATTTAATGGTTTTGAGTGTAGTATTAATGAATTCAGGTGATTAATTAGTAAACGTGGCAGACCCGTGAAATAAACAAATTAATTTTGTGTTTAACCCATAAACTTATTTCAACCCATTAATACTGACACTATAAATTCTCAAAAAATAAAGGTCTCTCAACCTCTTCATCACCTCAGAAACAATGATTTCTTTCACGTTCGTTATTGTGCATATACTTTTTTACTCGGCCATAAGTTATTATTATAATAAATCGGTCATAATGCGTGGCGAGTTAATATTTTTTTTTTTCAGACTCAGAAAAACTCTTCTATTATTTAGCGGGCGACACATGAGTTGTGTCAGATAACTCGTCTAATAAATGAGTTGTGTCAGATAACTCGTCTAATAAATGAGTTGTGTATCAGTATAATATTTGGACTCGTTTTTTTAAATGAATGAAATATGAATAAAAGTTTTTTTTTTTTTGACACAAATTAATTCCACTCCACTCGAAACTGTTTTGCTAATATAGCAAGACTATCCAGCCCCAGCTTCAATGGTCTGCAACACACCCAATCTTTTTTTTAAAGTGCAATCTCATCCTTATCTTTTACATATAATAAGGCTGGCAGTGCCTTGGGTTGACAAGCAATCCACGTTGGTCCGTAAGGGATCAACAATAATGCACGTCATTTTCTTGATGCGGTGTTATTTTTATTTGAAATTATCTGATTTTTATTGGTGTTTAGTATAATATCGTGATATAATATCACTAATTAATAATATATAAATAAAAAAAAAAAAGAATAAAAGACAAATACAAACTAATAACTACTCGTCACCATACAACGAGAGTTTCTCGGGAAATGGATTCCCAGGACCTACCAAGATAACGGAGAGGGAAAAATTGTCAGGATGCAAGATGGCAAATTTTATTGGTTTGTTACACCATGTTAACAACGTGAGATGGATAACAAGATGCTAAAAGCAACCGACTGCAATCAAGTACGTAATCCAGAGAGCTGAAAATTGAGACCGACAGAGAGAGAGAGTCACTGCGTGTGCCCTGCTTGAAATGGAAGTGAAACAGTCGAGCACCACTGCTGGGAAGCCAATCAGATGCAGAGGTATACTCTAAAATCTCCATTACCATTACCATTACCAGTAGTCCTTGTGGGTTTTTTTTGGGTGGTTCAATTAAGGAAAATTTTATATGTGTGTGCGCCTACTTGTATGAATCAAAAAATGATGATCTCTCTCTCTCTCTCTCTAAAACAACGACGCAAGCAGCTGCGGTTGCTCGGACGGCAGGAGAGGCTCTGACAATAGAGGAGGTGATAGTGGCCCCTCCAAAGCCATACGAAGTTCGCATCCGAATCATTTGCACTTCTCTTTGTCAAAGCGACATCACCTTCTGGAAGCTGAAGGCAACTAACTTGTCCTTTCTCATCTCTTTTACTGCCATATTTTCAATTCAAATGAAACATGAACGTAGTTCAATTTTAGTTTGTGAATTTTTTATTTGATTTTTGTAGGAGCCTCATGGAATTTTTCCAAGAATCTTTGGTCACGAAGCTGCTGGGTAACTTTAATCCCATTCCCTCCTAAACATCTTATTTCACATGTTTTTGTTGGAATTATGATCTATAGTTTACTCCCTTTTTTCCTTGTTGTGATTTGTGTGCCATAAATATTCAAAGAAACAAAAAAATTAGAAGATGCACACAAGAATTTTACATGATTCGGTAACTTGCCTTCATCTGCGGGAGAGCGGCTGCTTTGTTTTTATTCCACGCTAAAAACTGTGTCATAACTTAATGTATATAGGTTACAATCCTAATTAGTGCAAATCTCAAAGGCATATGCGGTTCTCCTAGCCCATTATCTTCTAACTTGGTGTACCTCTTCATATATTGAATATGGGCTACCTATTCTAACAATCCTTTTTAATTCTATTCTTTCTAAGCCCGAAACCATGCCATAAAATTTCCTATAGTGTATTGGCAGTGAGGATGAACTTTTGGGCATCCACATATTGTTGATAACATGCTTTTCATAATCTAACCAATTAAATGTTTCATGGTAGGATTGTGGAGAGTGTTGGGGAGGGCATAGAAGAGGTAACTGAAGGAGACATTGTCATCCCAACATTCTTGTCAGATTGTGGAGAATGTGTGGATTGCATATCCAAGAAGAGCAACCAATGTTCAAAGTATCCTTTTGAGATCTCTCCTTGGATGCATCGAGATGGGACGAGCAGATTCACTGATCTTGAAGGAGAGACTTTATACCATTTCGCATATGTATCAAGTTTTAGCGAGTATACAGTGGTAGACATTTCTCATGTAACTAAAATCGATCCTGCAATGCCACCAAATAAGGCATGTCTCCTCAGTTGCGGAGTATCAACGGGTAATAATGATTATTTTTAAATTTTTTGGGTTGTTTTACTTGTCATAATTGAAATTGGGGCCAGTAACATCTTATTTGCTGGCTTCTGCTGATGGGGAATGGATCCATTTTATGCTAGCAAGAATTATGGTCTCTTTTGGCATACCTTAGTTAGTTTGGGGCTGCTCAGGGACCCTCTGCCCTGTCCTGTCATATAAAATTCTTTAATGTACCATGAAAACTTTTTGATTGAGTTATCTTCTTGCAAACAACATATCTTGTTCTGATTCATGATGCAAAACATAGTAGGGGCTTCAAGTAAGTTATAAGGAGCATTCACCGAACCTACTTGGAAATTTGTAATTAACTTAATACTATTGGTTTCTCTGCTGCAAGCATCATAGATGTTGAAAACACAAAAGCAAATTCATGATCATTTTGTATACTTAATAATTTGTGTTGAGGCATAAGCAGGAAATAAATATATGAATAAGTTCACAAACCAAAATGTTATTGTAGAATGAAAAGTAGAGTAGCAAAATAGATAGTTATTCAAAGTAGATCCATTCCAGAGCATCTTGAAGTATGCAAAAAATGGTCCTGTGCTGAGCATATTCAGTCGATTCTGTTCTTACCTTCGAGTTGAAGAATAAAGTGTGTCACTAAACACAGCTTGGGTTTTCAGGGGTGGGTGCTGCATGGAGAGCAGCAAATGTTGAACCAGGATCCACTGTTGTTATTTTTGGGCTGGGAGCAATTGGACTAGGGGTATGATTTTTAGTAACTAGGATAAAAGTTCTTCATTCTATTTTTCCTTTTGATGTTTGATAGGTTGAGAGAGCATAATGCTCGTGATTTGACGTCGTAGGTCGCAGAGGGAGCAAGGCTATGTGGAGCTACAAGAATTATTGGTGTAGATGTAAACCCAGACAAATATGAAATAGGTAAGACAAATATGAATTCTTGTGGTGTTTGTTTTGCATCTTCAATCAACTAGAAACCTTCATAGCAAGGAAATTACTGAGATCCCTACCTTTTATGGGGCCACTTTGCCTTAGGTAAACTTGGATAATTTGTCATTTTCTTTTTCACAGGAAAAAAATTTGGAATCACCGATTTTGTGAACTCAACAAGCTGTGCGAATAAGTCTGTGAGTGAGGTACAGTTCTTACATATGAACTTAGTATTGACTATTGAGATCCATATGTTGATATCCTTTTATTCGACGTGCAAAAAGATATAGCATGAGTATTATATTTATGTTATGTTCTCAATTTCTTGTTCTTTTTTGCATATCAAGCAGGTGATAAATGGGATGACCAATGGGGGTGCAGACTATTGCTTTGAATGTGTGGGTTTGACATCCTTGATGGAAGAAGCATTTGCTTGCTGCCGAAAGGTCTTTCCCATCCCCCTCTCTTTCTCCCTCACACACATGCTTGTGTATATATTTATTTGCATCTATGAGTGCTGTTGGCTAGTTTTTACATTATTTCTGTTATGCTTTATACTTCCAAAGGTTCAACAATGTAAAGTTATAGATGAGTTCGACATCACCAGAATCCTTTTGATTTGTTTATCAACTTCTTTTCTTGTACATTATTCTGGTTGGCCTCCGATTCATACACTTCAATGGCATAAGACTCTTCTTTTTTGTTTTGAAAGCTTGTTTCTCCACTAAGACAAATATGCATATTACAATTGTTTCAGGGATGGGGAAAGACAGTTATTCTGGGACTGGAAAAGCCAGGGCAACAATTGAGCCTCAATTCTCTTGTGGTCCTTCATAGTGGGAAAACCCTCTTTGGAACCTTGTTTGGAGGTCTCAAACCAAAATCTGATATTCCACTTCTTGTTAAGCGCTACATGGACAAGGTAATTGAAAATTTAACTTAACCCATTACTTCTTACTGCACATTCAAGCTTATCGAGCAATTTATATGTTTACACGAGTTGGCATTGCCCCTATTCTCGTTTGCTTTTTATGTATTGATCTACACATTTGAAGGAGAAAAAAAGTTGTACATTTCAAGGGGATAATTATATAACGGGAAAGAAGAGGGTGAGCTTAGGAGTACTTAAAGAGCAAAAACCAAGCTGTGATAGAAGTTAGGAGCTCCGCTTTCTTCTATTTTTCTTCTGGTTGATTTGAGCAGGAAGGAAGGGATTTCTCCTAACAATAAGAGATGATCATCCTTTCCATTTTATGTTTTTTTCCCGGATTACTTTTATTTTTGTTCACTCTTTCAGGAACTGCAACTGGATGGATTTGTGACCCATGAGTTGAGCCTTGAAGAGATTAACAAAGCATTCGGTTTGCTTCTTGAAGGAAAATGCATCCGATGTGTTATTTGGATGAACAAATAAAAAACCTTCTCTCAAGTTATATCCCGTGAAATGCACTTCTGTAATTGTTCCTTGAGATAAACTTAGCCAAATAAATTATATATATTATATTATCTGTGCTATCGGATCAAGGGAGGATCCATTTGAGCTTTGTCTATTTCTTGGCTTCAAGTGTTTACTATTCAATATCCACGTGTGGGTTACGAGTGTTATTATTGTATATGTCCGTGCAGATTTTCGCACAATAGTTAAAGTAGGAATAAATATCTCTCACGACGAACTGTGGTTCACAAGACAGTAATTCCAGCGAAATAAAATGTTTGCTTTTAGGATTTCGAATCACCTCTAGTAGAGATTTGACCCATCCGAAAGTAAGTTTTGGCAACAAGAAGTAGGTTGAGAGAGACAAAGAGCCCTTAAGGACTGATGGTGAATTATTTGTTGGGTCGCCTGACCGATCCTGGAAGACTGTAGGGGGATCCTGTGACACAGAAAAATAGGTTAGGAGAGCGCCGGAATGCTCTCCGGCGTATTCCTTCTGACGATCTAGTCAGTTCTTTGAAAGAGAGGAAGAAGAAAGCAATGTGTAATTCTTTTTAGGAGTTCTTGCGTATCTTTTCAATGATTTTTGAGAACTATTTATACCTTCAAAAACTCATGATTGCTTATACTTCATTCAGCAAATAGTTGGAGATGGGGCAGTGTGCCCCTCACTTTTATGGGAAATGAGTTTTGCTTTAATTGATTGGGATGCCGAGCATTCAAAGCTCACTTCTCGGTCTGCCGAACATTCAATTCCCCCTTCTTGGCGAGAATGTATTAAATGCCCAAGTATGGGGGTCTTTAATGCACTTCACTTCTCGACCCTCATGCCTTAATTGCTGTCTCATCAGGAGGAGAATTTATTAAATGCATACTTGCTCTAGTCATGTGTCAGCAGGAGTACCTAGGTCTTTTTGCTACTGATTTAATATCAAATTTCACGCGTCCACTCCTCCTTGGTTGCGTGTTTTGCATCCCTGCTCCTCCTGACACCATTGAGCAGAGTGTCTTCACGATGATTAGCCTAGCTTGCCCTAGGCTAACCATCAGTCAATCATTATCTTTCGTAGAAACAGAGGAGAGGTTGGATCCAGCCTACAGAAGGAACACCTCGGTACCAAGGAACATTTGTCTACCTCGGGATCAAGATTTTTACCGAGCCGAGGACATATGTGTTGATCACGCAGATTAGGGGGATCTCTCGGCTTCGAGCACTATCTCCTCGACAGATGAGAATGAGTGTCATCGAAAACACGTGACTATATCTGGCTAGAATTATATCGATACTAAAGATACGTGTGACCGATCTTTCTTCTCCCAAAAATGTCCCATCACTATAAGGAATCGATTTGTATTCCTCCATATATATTATTCGCTTCATAGTGAATTTATTGCAAATTTACAGATTGTTTTTGTTATTGGTTCTTTGATTATTCTTAAAAAACGTAGATTCGGTGGGAGAGGAGGGCGTATCACTCATACCATATAGCCAAAAAGTACTCTAACACTAGTGTGATAAATCTAACTAAAGCCAAAGCATTTATCCCTTTCCCAAAAGTTCTCACAAATAACCGCTGATTCAAATGGTATTAAAAATGAATTATATATTTAAATATTTTTGAATTCAAACTTTAATATTTTAGAATTAGATCATAAGAGAATTATCATTTATCCCTTATTAATATTTTAGTCTTGGCATAAATGACTACCTTTAATTGAACCAAAAAAGAGATTAATTAAAACACAAGTAAACTAATTCAAATCCTCTTATTCGTTGATAAAAAAAAATAAAAAAAAGTTTCCCATAGCTGTAAATTACAAACAAAGGAAGTAATCAATCTATTTCTTGTAAGAAAATATTATTTGAACCTAATTTAATACAATTATTAGTTGACTCTAAACAAATAATTTAATGATTGCATTAAAATCAAAACCCTAAATTAAGTCCATATAACATTCCTCCGCTGCTTTAATATATCGGTGGCTTGCACACACACAAAACTATGGACAAGAAAAGTAGAAAACCTCCTCTATAGGATTAGGAACACAAAAAAACATCAAATAAACAAACTTACACATGATATAAGCGTATTAAAGCAAAAAAATCAAAGCAAAGAAAACAAAAAAATGCAAAAGTAACACAAACCCATAATCAAATTACAACCCAAACACAGCACAATCATGACTCTCATAAACATAACACTGTATACTCATTAGGATCCACATTCCTTTTTCTTATTCTTTCTTTTCTTCTTCAGCTTTGGGGTGGTACCCAGGAAGCTTTTCCTTGATCTTCTCCATAATTCCCTTCTTCTCCTTGGCCTCGCCGTCCGGGGAGGCGTACTCTGCCGCCGGTGGTGGTGGTGGTGGAGGAGGAGGCACCTCTTCTGTCTTCTTGTGCCCACCGGGTAGTTTCTCCTTGATCTTATCTAGGAACCCTTTCTTTTCCTCTGGTTCATGAGTGGGCTCTACATGGACTGCTTCGTCGCATTTCTCAGCCTTGTCTTCTTCCTTGTGATCTCCTGATAACTTTCCCTTGATCTTGTCCTTCAACTTCTTTTTCTTTTTCTTCTCTCCTCCCTCTTCCACTTCTTCCTCATCGCTCGACTGCAAATTTTAAAACAAGTTCGTTAGCTTAATCGGATGGATTATATTATCTTCACATACACCAACATGAACAGTATGCGTTTGTTAGAAAAGAAACGAAACTTACGGAGCTAGAGCTGCTACTGGATCGGTGGAGCTTCTCCAGAAGGCCATGCTTCTTTTCTTCTTCTACTTTTTCCTTGTGCTCAGGCTCAGACACATGAACCTTCTCGAACTCCGAGGCGATGATCACCTCCTCTTGAGGCTTCTGTTCTTCCTCTTTCTTCTTCCCCAGGAAATCAAACAACCCACGATCTTTGGTTTCAACTCCAACCTCCTCAATCTTAATGGTGCTCTCACACTCATCGCTTTGTTGGTGGGTATGGTGTTGCACTTCCTCAGCCATTTCTGTTCAAGTTACCAGATACCAATTCAAAAAACAGCAAAAAACGTAACAGGAAAGTGAGTGACCGATTGCAGAAGAATGATCGATGTAGGAAATTCTAAGCTTTGCGAATGGTGTTTTGAAAGAGCTAGACAAGTGGGGCATCTTATAGGCCATCCCAACGCGGACTTAACGCGATTAATCAAAGAGACAAGCCCAATGGCCTTTGTCCATTCGTGTGTAACCGACGTGGTGCTTTATTTTGAGAACGAAAACTTTTAATGTTCTATTATACTCTCTTACAATCGATGCCCAAATGAAACGCGTTATTTATTTATTTATTTCGGTTCAATCATCGAGAATATTTGAATTAGTTTATGTATATTTTGATTCATTTTCTTCTTAATTCAATTAAAATCAAATCATTCATACTCGTATTAGAGTTTTTACGAGGAATAAAGCTCTTCTGGTCTGACGTTAAAGAATTATCAATATTTAAACTTAGGATACTGTTACCACTTGAACTATCCTTTAAAATTTATAATATGTTTGAATATGTGTTGGCACAATTTGTTAACACACACATGAAATTAGAGAATTTAAATCTTATTTAAGTCATTTATTCCATAAATAAATGAATTCAAATATAACAAGATTAATAAACAAATCAAGTATATGTGAAATTAATTAAAAAAATTTACGATACGATTTTTTTATGTTTTGTTTATATACGATTTATATATGACATGATTCATTATGTATCAATCGCAGACTTTTTAACACAAATTTACTAATATTCGATTCGAATCTTGTTCATTTGACACGATTAATAAATTTAATAATATTTTTTATATTTTCATATGTTTTTCAGAGGAATAATGTTATTAAGAATTAATTTAATAATTTAATTTATTATGATATTTGAATTAACCGTAGATCCTACTAAACAATGAAATTTGGCGATAACTCAATAGTTATAAATAAATTAAATCAAAATTTTAAATTCAAATAACATTATTATTTCTAGAGAGAGCGAGTAGGTGAATATTGATACGCGAGAGAATATGAAAAGCTAAACGGTTCAAATAAAAAAAAGAAAAGCTAAAGACTTATAAAGAAGAAAGTAGAAGGTGGAGAGGGACACGCTGTCATGCGAGTGTGTACAACCCAATTGAAGTGTGACACGTGTAGAGATAACGTGAAAGGTTGTCATTGTGGGGCCAGATCTGTCGGCCTCGAGTGAATAAATGTGGAAAGTCGGTGTACACGTGGCAGTTGCGTGGGAAATGGGGGGTAAGGTGTTTCGAGATTTGCGACTGGGTAAGGTAATGAACTAATGATAGTATGTGCATGGTGAATGGTCCCAGTCACCATTTTTCCGAGATGTACCACCAAACGTGGACCCAACTTGTGGACAGGTGGTCGGTGTGACGTTGTCATTGAGAGGAAAATATTTATTAAAACGGAGATATTATAATAAAAAAAAATAATATTATTAATTAATAATATTAAAATAAATAAATAGATAAACGTCACAAAAATTAATAATTAATCTGCCACGTAAATTAATAAGTATCAAAAAAAAAAAAACAGAAAAATTTGCTGCAATTGTTTGATCCGTTTGAAATGTAACAGCCTGGAGTGGGCTTTAGTTGTTTCGTTATTCTGGATCAGCCCAGATTTTTAAGCCCATCTAATGTACTGTACATCATGATTGACCCTGGATGGATATGGGCATAATGGCTTGCTATGATTATTAAGATAACTTTTTCAGCCCATATCTTTTCACCTCAGGTCACATAGCTTTTGAGAGCCGGGTTTGAATTTAAAATCGGCCGGGTTTGAATTTAAACGATTTTTTATGCATGTCTTGTGTCTTTCAGCTCTGCAGGATCAGAGAAAGACAGATTTACTCACTAGTGTTTAAGTGGCAAGATCAGTCAAACAAAAGCCTGGATGGATATGGGCAATGGGGGGTTAGATTGGGTCTTTAAAGTTGTTGTTGTAGAAATGCTTCGGCTGACTTCAACCATGACCTAGTCTGTTTGATTAGTTCTATGTGCGGGCTCGATCCTGCACGATATATAAAATATTGGGAACAGATCTCTCCCCTGGTGAACTCTGAGTGAGCCGGTTGAGTGGCCAAACACACTGCTTGAAACAGCCTACAAGGAACGGTGGCAACCTGGAACGGCAAAGGAAGATCCTGGGAAAGGAAGAACGATCCTGTACGTGTGAAAGGGTTTTCCTGGAACAAAGGGGAACAAGTTAGAAGGGCGCCGGAGTGTTTTCCGGCGTATCCCCTCCGACGGTCTAGTCAGTCTTTGAGTGAGAGAGAGAGAGGAAAGAGAAAACACTGAGAAGGATCTATTGTAGTGGAGAGTTTGTGATTTCATACCCGCTTTGCCTTTTGGGAAGGGTATTTATACCTTAAAAGCTCATGATTGCTGTCAGTGTGGTCAGTAGGTGATCATCAGGCACAGGTAGCGTGTGTATTGATTTGATGAGGAATGTCTTCTCTAATTGACTGCTCGGGGTCCCGAGCAATCAATGCTGAGTC